TCTCCCCGAAATCTCTACTCTGAGTTACAGACTGTTGAAGGTCTCCTAGGACTGGAACCCAGTCTGTTCTCCAAATCTGGGCTCTATCACAGGCTACTGTCTCCTGGGCCAGCTATTAATATAAAAAGGTTCATAAAGCCAGTGACATGCAGGACCCAAGTATACTCATAAGTAGGTGATCAATAAGAAACTCATTTCACCAAACAAGAACTAAAAAGGAGAAACACTGGTGACAGGATGGGAATTGTGATGAGAAACATTGGATGCATGATGGGAAGAACCAAGCCTATTTAAAGAAAGTTACGGCACATTGGGCAATGAAATTATTTAAAAGCCCTGCTTGCCTTCAGCTTTGTAAGCATCTCATCTATAAAGCTAAGGAAGCGAGAAGGTTGCATTTCTGAGGGCTGCTTAAATGATGCCTCTTTGCAGTATTCCACCACACAAACTGCTGCAACCCCCTCCACTGCAGGAGCTAATTTCAGGTCATTTATTTGGGTGATCAAAGCCTGCAAAGGAAAACGTGGCATGTGTAAGCAGTCACTGGACATCTTAATGGGCAACATGGCACTCTCAAGCAGTGAATGAAGCCCTTATACTACCTGTATTATCTGTCAACTTCTCTATGACAGATCAACCCCTAATTCAGTGGCCTAACACAGACATTAGTATCTCACAGCATCCCGTGGTGAGCTAGAGGTTTGAGAGATGCTTACCCAGATGTTTGGGGCTTGGGAAACTACAGGCCAGGCATTAGATACAGCTGCCCAAGGACCTGCTTCCTCTGTGGCCCCTGCCCTCCTTGACTGGTTCACAAGGGGGTATTAACTAGAGGCCTCGGCTCCTCTGGTCCTCGCCAGCATTTGCCTGAACATCTGCTCAGCACAGCAAGTCAATTCTACCAGCACAAGAAACTCATTGCTGGGTATGCAGAAAAGGCCAGAAAAATCAACTGTTGCCTCCTAGTTGTGCTTTGTTGCCTGTTAAGCATGGTGTTCATTCTCTACTGCTAACATTTTCCAGCACTGATGAAAATAATAATTTCTCAGTCTGAAGACAGCAAGTACTGGTGGCCTTCTGACCCTTGATAACCTTTCTCTGGGTTTTTTCACGGTAGTGCTAGAATAGTCACAGACACAGCATTTGAAACCAAATGAAAGCAAAATAAAAACAAATGTATTTTTGCTTAATCTCGAGTATCATCCAGTCTGAAACTACTCCTTTCCTTCATAGCTCAGGACTTAAGAGAATTTATCTTCGCTGTGATTGGTTTCTACCTCTGGCATGAACCCCACCAAGCTACAGACTTGATTCACCCCAACTTCCCCCACTAACTCATCCTGTCTCCAGATCTGTGTAATTCTTCTGCTTCCTTGTTGCATTGACCATGAGGGTTTGCAGGCCCCACTAACCTTGCTCTCCCTCTCAGAGAACACATCTGTCTTTGTCTTGGTACAACCGTGATGTTTTCTTCTCCCCCCCGAGTTTATCCTCTCCTGTAAATGAGTAACACCATCACTCTTGTGGCTCCTTTGTGCTCTTTCCAGTCTTCCAGGGCTTTACTATCTTTGTAAGACATGGGACCCTTCCCACCTGTGCGCATTCACCTACCTAATGGGTGACTTAAGGTAACAACAAAACTCACAAAGATAAAGTGGTCTTCCTGTACAAGCTCATCATCTATCTGAACCTGGATTCTGAAACACAGTTCACCCAGGAACTGCTCTCCAGCTTTGGTTTCTTTTCTTGGACACCAAAATCTAATGAGTTTCCATGTGTGCTTCATTTTCTTTCTGTCTGACCATGGCTCTCCATCGCTCCCCGTCACAGACCTTGCTCAGGCTCCAGTGACCTGCCTGCTTCCAAGGTGCACTGCCAGGGTAATAATCTTTGTAATGATGGTTCTGTGGTCACCCTTCCTGACCCGATCCCTGTGTGAACCAAGCAGTGCTTCTCAACCTTCTTCATGCTGTGACCCTTTAATACAGTCCCTCATGTTGTGGTGATCCCCAGCCATAAAATTATTTCCCTTGCTACTTCATAATTGTAATTTTACTACTGCTATGAATCATAATGTAAATATCTGTGTTTTGGGGTGGTCTTAGGTGACCACTGGGAAATGGTCATTTGGCATCCCCCCCCAAAAAAGGGGGTCTTGTCCCATAAGGTTTAAAACCGCTGCTGCAGAGCCCAGTGATTCCTTTTACATAAATTCACAAATCGAATCGCAGTCTCTGCTTACTCTTCTCCGAGTAAGAGCTTCTCTTACTAGATCTGGGCCATTTAATAATACCTCCTGCCCTGGTGCTGCTTTGCCCAGTTCAGGTCCTAATCATCAGGAAAGCTGTGGATGTTAGGGCCAAGAAGGAAGTGGCATCACCCTCCTTCGCATGTTCCCTTTCCAGAGTTGGTTGTATTAAGTGCTCCTGTGAGTGAGCAAACTCAGTCATTCCTTCCTCTTGGAACATAGCTCAACCCCTTCCATCTCTGCCTCTAAAGGGATAGTGGAGGCAAGAGGGAGTGGTTTGAGGGATCATGTGAACAGAACAGACTGGCCAGTCTCTCCAGAAGCCTGCAGAGGTCACCTGTCCCGTCCCCATCGTCCCCCCCCCCCAGAGGAACGCATCTCTCCCCTGGATAAAGCCACAGCCTGTGCTTTCCTGATCTGGCCACCACAAAGATGATTGGCACCATGTAGTTTTGTTTTTAATGTGCTAAAACGGGCCTCATGTTTTACAGTTTAGCCACTTCTAAGAGAACAGTTCTGTAGGAGGAAGTTGTATTCCCAATGCTTTCCAACTGTCATGATCATTTCTATAATCTTTTCTTCCTTGTACATGGGGTTCCCATCCCCATTAAACAACAACCTCCCACTTAGCCCCACCCACCATTCTGCCTTCTGCCTGCAAGGGCTGCTTAGTCTAAAGTAACACATAACGGAATCCTGCCACATCTGACCTTTTGTGCCTTCAAGTCTAGCGTATCATGGGATTTCATTTCTTTATGAGACAGACTAATATTCCAGTGTATGTATAGATCACACTTCCTCTCCCTGCATTTCCATAGATGGACTTTGGGGTTGTTTCTACCCCGTCTTGGGAGGAAAGCAAATTTGGACATTCGCATACAAACACCTGCTTGAGTCTCTCATCTCAGTTCTAAATCCCGTTGTTTTCAGGGTTAAATTTTTCAGGAGCTACTGTAGTATATTCCACAGTGGCCGTGCCGCCCCACGCCCCACACACACTCACCAGCAATGCACAATAGATCCAAGGCTCCACATGCCTGCCAATCTCTACATTCTGCTTTTGGGTGTTTTGTGTGTGTTTGTTTGTTTATGTGGTAGCCTTCCTCGTGACTGTTCTATTTCCTGGCGCATCTCCAGCCATAGCATCCTCACTGAGTGACTGTTCAGACTAAAGGCAGGAATTTCGGCTTCTTTACAAAGCCCTCATGAGACTCTGAACTGTGCTATTGTATGGGAAAGGAATGATGCACACCCTGGCACATCTCACTGGCTACTCTTTCGGCAACTCACAGTCCCCTCCTGCCAGGGTCCGGCCTATATCAGTCCCACCCTACAGAGCCCATCTATTCTGGACTGATTTCTTTGGGGCTGCGATCAGAACCAGCTGAACAGCCCCAACTCTGACCCTGAGTGGGAGATTGTGGATGAGGAAAGCCTAGCTACCCAACCGCGTTAAGGATGAGACAGAGACATCATCTCAGGAGGGCTCTCAGTCCATACTGGAGATCACGGTTTTTATCAGCATCTTCTTAAATAACTTTCCAAAAGTGGGGGTTACTCGAAAAGACAGTCTTATCATGTATAGAGGGCTGACTAGGAAACACTTCCTTTAATCCTCAAGATAGTCCTAGAAAGCATGTACTCAAGCCCTCAGACATTCCACAAGGGCATGTCACATCCATCTCAGGATGGGTGTGGGTTCACCCAGGGCCTAGGTCTATTGTTATACAAACTAGGAGACATTCTCCAATGTGGCCAGGCCATCCAGAGGTAACCAGCTGCCATCTGAAATATCATATTCATATTCGGCCCTGACACCCTCCACTCATCTGCACAAGTGTGAAGGGATTGGTCATATACAAAGAGTTCACCTCCCCACCACATGTGTCCCCTCTCTCCTAGTCTATTTCCCTTTACAGCATTTACCTAAGTCAAGTTAGAACACTCACTGATGTCTTGATTTGTTTAATGCCTCACTCAAAAAAAAAAAAGTCTAAGCCTGTAGTAAATGATGCGGGATCAGCTGATTCTTATTCCCTTTTAGAAGTGAAGATTATTGCTTTGATTTTGGTTTTTTTTTTCTTTTTCATTAGAATTGGTCAGGCTCTATCATCTGCTGCTTCTACTGTGGGAGTTTGTGCAGCAGGAGCCACAAAGGGCCTACATTGCACTGGTCACCTGGGTTGCATGAGTGGATAGGCAGAGGTGCTCCAGGAGGAGAGGGGAAGAAGAGAGGATAGGCCTGGAGCTTGGCCAGCATGATGCAACAGCTTGTCTCTTCTCACTAACTCCTTGGGGAAACTGGGGTGGGATATGATGCATGAGAGAAGAATAAAATAAATGATAATTTTAAAAATGCACCACTAGAAAACTATTTAAGTGGTGATTTCATCAAAGGTTTATGTACTTCCTGTCTGGGAAGTAGCATGTTTCTCACGAAAATGCTAAGTACAAAATATTTACACTATTCTGATAGGAAATGGTCGTGAGTCACCTTTACCATGCAACGCAGACTTTTCAGTTCTCTTACCACACCTGTTTCCACAGCATCTTATACGCTGACATCGTTGGGTTCACCCGTCTTGCAAGTGACTGCTCCCCTGGGGAACTGGTCCACATGCTGAATGAACTCTTCGGGAAGTTTGACCAAATCGCAAAGGTGGGTGTCACAGCATCCCTTTCTCCATGGAGATGTATGACATCTCAGCATGTTTTCCTCCCTTCAAGAACATTTGCAAAACTTGTTGTTTTTATTTGCTGTATCCGGGAAGAGGAGTGCCCTACCGTGTAAGTTCTGCATGTTTTCGTCTATTTTTAGCAGTCTGTTTACATATAACTCTACACTCATAATGGTGAGATTCTCTTGGCAACACTGTCTACCTTGTGCTGTTTGGGAGTGCTCCTGTAGGCATTTCCATTCCCCATGGAGGGTTAGTCCGTTCTTAAACATCCCCAATATCTTAGGAAGAAATTGGTTCAAAGATGAGAGAAGGGTCTGTTGTGGGCCCATCTTCCCAACTATATTCTCTTATCTCCCACCGGGAAAGGAAGTTAAAATTTCAGGGAGAGAATAGCTCTGCCTCCCTCCTTTCCAAAGGCAAGTGCCAAGTTTTTTGTTGTTGTTGTTGTTGTTTGTTTGTTTGTTTGTTTTGGTTTTTCAAGACAGGGTTTCTCTGTGGCTTTGGAGGCTGTCCTGGAACTAGCTCTTGTAGTCCAGGCTGGTCTCAGACTCACAGAGATCCTCCTGCCTCTGCCTCCCAAGTACTGGGACTAAAGAAGTGGTAAGTTTTGTAAGTTAACATTTAGAGAAAAAAAGAAAGGATGGAACCTAATTACTTGAATTCTCCCCTTTTTGTTTGTTACCTGGTGACAGTAGGTAGAAGAACCCAGCCATGGCTGGTAGCTTCGTAACTCATGTCCACATGATGATCCACATGTCCCTCTTAGGACCCAAATTTCTCCTTCTCATAGGGATCAGTCATCTAGTCTCTTCCAGTGTGATTTCATTGCAACTAATTACATGTGCAATGATAATGTTGGCATATGACGAGCAACAGGGGTATGTCTGCAAAAGAATCTAGAATGGCACATTTTCCCACCCATAGTAGATGAACTGATGTGTTTCAAGAGAACGTTCTGGATAATAGCTCATGACTCAGTTGAATCTGTTATTATAAGCAAGCAGCCAGCCCAGCCCACTGAGTGAATTCTGGGTAAAGCACATCACTTAAGCCAAGCAACTCAAGGTGCTAGCCAAGAACTCTTGTGACCACATTCTGCAGACATAAAATATCCATTTAAGATGTGTGTAAGGAGCCTGACTAATTAATGAGTAATTTGCATTTTTCTTGTTTATGATACTACACTGGAATTACTAAATACGTCACCAATAGTGCTATAAATAAGCATAAAAATATGTCCTAGCTTGTGAGCTGTTAGTCAGGAAAAGACACGTGTGGAAACATCCAATAAACTGCACACATGCTTACAAAGATGTCGTATCTGCTTTTCATAGACGCATGTCATTCTCAGAAGAAATAAATTGTGTTTAGGACATTGTTGGTTTGGTTTGGTTTCACTAAAGAGCTGCTTGAAAGGTTACAAAGGAATGTAGGGGTGATGATGCATATGAATGAGATGGTCTAAATATTGTAATGCCAATTACAATATTTTGTGTAAATGCAACATAAGCAAGCAAAATGAGCTGGTCAAACTTGGTTTTTAATTATTTAGGATTTTTAAAATTATGTATGCATATGTGTGTCTCTGAGTCGGGAAAAGGGCATCAGATCTCCTGAAGATGGAATTGCAGGGGATTTGGAGGGGTCCAGATGCAAATGCTGGGAACTGAACCGGCGTCCTTTGCAAGAGCAATATTTGCTCTTAACCATTGAGCTATCTGCTCAGCTCTACGTTCGTCAAACTTTGTATTAGAAAAATTTATCCTGGTGGGTGGTGGTGGCACATGCCTTTAGTTCAAGCACACGGGAGGCAGAGGCAGGCAGATCTCTGTGAGTTCGAGACCAGCCTGCTCTACAGGAGCTAGTTCCAGGAAAGCCTCCAAAGCCACAGAGAAACCCTGTCTTGAAAAAAAGAAAGAAAGAAAGAAAAATTTATCCTAATATTACATTTGAATTCTATATGGTTTGGCCATGTTACATGGGAGCTTATTGGCACCTGAAGACATTTATCAGACAACCTGTATCTGCAGGTAGGAGTCTGCTGCAGGTTAAAAATAAATAAAAAAAACCCCAAGTACAGTAGAGAATGGCATACAATTCTAAGTCATACCAAGTCTAACTGTCCCACGATGGTGTCAACAATCCAATCTGCATAGAATGTGCATTTGTGCTACAGAGAACAGCTCTCCTCTGATTTTAGGGGAAAACTGTTCCAAAGCAGTCTCCATATGCCATGTGTCTTCCCCTTTTCATAATTCTTACAGGCTTATGGGAAGGGTTGACTTGTCCTCAGTGGGCAGGGAAGGAAGCCCGTGTTCTTATTTCCTCTCCCCATATGCCCTGTCCATGGAAGCTGAGTCAGCAGAGCCAGCAATGAATCACTGTAAGAGCTCCATGCAAATGAGGTCTTCTGATTTCTTCTTCCAGGAGAACGAATGCATGAGAATTAAAATTTTAGGAGACTGCTATTACTGTGTTTCCGGACTCCCTATATCTCTCCCTAACCATGCCAAGAACTGTGTGAAAATGGGATTGGATATGTGTGAAGCCATAAAGTAAGTGTATCACTCAGAAATACCATTTTCCTGCAGAACAATTTTGAGTTGTACTTCTCACCTGCAGATATTTCTATTTTCTGTGTACTGGCACTAGCTGTACATTTAAGGACAAATATGAGGAAATAGATCTATTGGCGTGAAAGTCTCTCAGTCCGGAGAAAGTCTGGCACCTGCCTTTAGGGTCATTGTTAACAACCACTGATTTCAGAGAAACTGAGTTAATAATTTGTTTGTTTAAAAAGTGACTCAAATGAACTCCACTCATTGGTTCCACATTCTGTTACAGGTTACCTGTTGGTCTTGGGTATGATGCATGAGGTGATAAAAGTAGTTTGCTTTCTTACACCCCCAGTAATGGGTGACAGCCTGGGCATCTCTCATCCATTTTGGAAATTCTTTGTTCTCTTTCTCTCGCATGAAGGGGCAGCATTTGCACACCCATTACTGAAGCATGAGGTGAAACAGGAAGTCTAGTAAAGGGATACCATTTGGAAGAAGTCACTTATTTTTTACATCAGTAGCCCATTTTGTGTCAATTTTAGCATGTTCAGGTACCATCACTATGCTACACCCCAGGCAATTGTAAGACACTACTGGTTTGCTTTACTGTAATGTAAGATGCCGATTGTTCTTTGCAATGTGCTGCTGTGTTTCCTTCCTCGTTTCTCCTGGAGGAGTTCTCCCCAAGTGCCAGGATCATCTTCCTGACACTTCTTTTCTAATAATACCTTAAGTGATGAATGATATAAGTAAGTAAGCATTGGCCAACATTTCTATCTCCACTTCAGTGAAGTTCTGCACTGGCCTCTGTTAGTGGTTATCAATAATAAGAAAATATTAGAGACAATTTTAATTACCTTCCTCTTCATAAAGCCTTTAAAATTATTTTCCTTTTTAATTAGAGAATGTGTTCAATTGATAATATTTAACCTTATGATTACTTTTTAAAGATCTGTATGTGTGCTGAAGTTATTAAGCACCCAAATAAGCTCTATTGCTCCTTTGCTAGCAAAATATATTTATCAGGGACATACAACTTAGAAAGCACTAGAATCACAAATGATATTTGAGATGGGGTCAGCTACTGCAAGACAGTGGTATCCAGACATTTGGGTTTGAACACTTAGTGGGAAGTCACACACAATGGATTGGTTCTTGATACATGTTAGTTGGGGATATGGAAACAGTAGCCCAAGTGCTCTGTCACCACCAACAACTCCAAGAAGATCCTGAAGCTTTGGGTCTACTCCTTGAGTAGTTGGGAGATAATACCCTTCCTTGTGTTCCAAAACAACAAATGATCCTCTGGCATAGGAGGGTCCATAGTGGCACTAAAGTCAGAGAGGTTCTAAACGATGTGATGCAGGAGATTGGCCATGTGCTAAAGGAAATAGAGGGCACTACTGAACTATGACCACTTCTCCTCTCTTTAGGAAAGTGAGGGATGCTACAGGGGTTGATATCAACATGCGTGTAGGAGTGCATTCTGGGAATGTCCTGTGTGGCGTGATTGGTCTCCAGAAGTGGCAGTATGATGTATGGTCTCATGACGTTACTTTGGCCAACCACATGGAAGCTGGAGGAGTCCCCGGGTAAGAACAAACCTTGAATTTCTCTCTTCAAGTCGGTGGCTCAATTAGAAATGCCAAGTCAACAAGGTAATACCGGATTGCTGAGTTTTAGATGGCTACTCTTGCCCGTGTTGGTAACATGATACCTGTGACCAGTGGCCTCTTATAAAAATCATTTGGCCTTGCTCTCCGGATAGTGCTGAAGTGCTCACTTAAAATGTAAAATACTCTAGATTTATTCATTACCAAAACACATACACACACACACACACACACAGAGAGAGAGAGAGAGAGAGAGAGAGAGAGAGAGAGAGAGAGGCAGGCCCAGGCTCCAATTCTATAGCCTCTTAGCCTGTATTCAAGTATTATGGATATCACACAGTAAATTCTAAACCCTTGTTTGTTTGCACATTAGGAATATTGATCTGAATTGTCATTGAATGATTCAGTACTGGCATGGCATCACTCTAGAAGTAATGCATCTACAAGCAGTAGACCAAGTGTCATAGCATTGAGAGAATCTGCTTGTGGTTGGATATCAGTTCGTCACATGACTCTCAGAAGCACAGGAGCAAGCACTGGGAAGGAAAACTGTGCTCTCTCTCATACAGCCAAGCGCTTCTGCTAGCACACCCTGGCTACAGATTCTGACAGATACTCTCACACATGAAGATTGGGTATGATCCATTATTTTCTGATGAGGTTCACCACACATACTGTGCAGGTTGCTGTGAGCACAAAGAATCTTCAAGTCTTAGTGTCTCGTGACCTCCAGATGCCTTTCTTCAAAGACAGGGCCAGTAAAATACAAACTTCCATTGAAGTCAGTATTTCTGAGGACACACCGGTTTTCCTTCATGTGGGAGAGAAATTGTTCCCAAACCACAAACTAATAGAACACCTTTCTTTACATATATCCCCTTATGTGTTTCAAATTCCATGTCAGGCGTGTTCACATTTCTTCAGTCACTCTGGAGCACTTGAATGGGGCTTACAAAGTGGAGGAAGGAGACGGTGAAATAAGAGACCCATATTTAAAACAACACTTGGTGAAAACCTACTTCGTAATCAACCCCAAGGTCAGTACCACTGTACAGTGTAGACAATTAGCTCATTATTTCTGTGATTGGGAAGCAGGTAGTGAAAGTATTGTTGCAGGTAATGCTTTTAGCTAAGAATTGGCTAAATCTTCACCCTTAAAACCATTTAAATGCAACCAGTGGCTTGACTATAGAAGATGTTTTGTAATGATGAATTCAAATATTTGTTAAGAAAACAGTTGAAATGTATTGACCACCTGTATGCTGAGGGGATGGATGAAGGATGCTGGTCAGGATTATTGTAGAGGTCTGTCATGCTACTGTGTTTTGTTGCTTAATGCTACCTGTGAAAGGCTCTCAGTGTGCACGGCCTTGAAACCTGGGAGTTGAGAAGAAACAGATTTTTTTTTATTGAAGCCATCAAACCATAAAAATCTTGTGATGTGAAATAAAATAACTGCATGAAAAAGAGAGGAAAATTGTCATGATTAACAAGTAAATCCCACAGTCCATTTGTGTGACAATGTGAATACATAAGGACCTCCTTCCCTTGTATCCCAGAAGAGCCCCTCACCTGGGAAATAAGAAGACAGGAAGGTGCCGATTCTTCTTGTGTTCACACTGCCTGTTAGATGAGATCAAGGGACTCAGGGTTTGCAACACTGTTCTTTTCTCTCAAATTCCTGCCACATAGGAATTATTATCTGTCATAAGACCCTGAAGCTCTGGGTGGCTGTGTAACTGTCCCCAAGTGGACCAGCTGGTAAATGGTACAGAAAGCAGGAATATGGGCTCCTGAGTCAGGTCAACCAAGTTCACAAAATCAAGATCGAATCCATGGGCATTTGTCTACTATAGCTTCCCTGTAGCCCAGATTTCACCTTTAGGGACACACTTCTAATTAGCATCACTGCTTACCGAGAGGTAAATATGTGATGAATGTCACGAGTGGCAAGCAGTGGTTAAGTGACAGGAAGATGTGAGCAAGAACATGTATTCAGGCCAAGAGCACCAAAACGTGGTCATGTGAGGCCAACTGTATGACCAACACAGCCATACCTACTTACAAAACCATCAAAACCAACTAGAGCAGATCCCAAGTTCTGCCAAAAGGTTGGTTTACTTGATGCATTATTATTCATTAAAATACCTAGCACTTTTTTACTTTTGAGTATGTGTGTTGTGATGCTGTTTCTCCTCCCAAGGGAGAGCGACGGAGCCCCCAGCACCTCTTCAGACCTCGCCACACCCTAGATGGAGCCAAGATGAGAGCATCTGTTCGCATGACCCGCTACTTGGAGTCCTGGGGAGCAGCCAAGCCCTTTGCCCATCTGCACCACAGGGACAGTATGACCACAGAGAACGGGAAGATTAGCACCACGGTATGCCTGCCTCAGAGCCAGGGAATGTTGTTGGGGGGGGGGGGCAAAAGACAGGGCATCTCCAGCCAGAATGCTCCTCTGCAGTGATGGTGACCTCTGAGTCCATGGGGTCATGGAATCTAATACAGAGGAACTCCATAAAGCAGCATATCATTATTTACACAACCGGACTATGACACAACTATTTAACCAAGTTCCTTTTTATCTTACGAAGTAGAATACTGTGAGCATTTTGATGGGAGTAGGCGTGAAGGCAGATGTCCTGCTCATGGACATGATGAAGACTTTTCAAATCCCAGATGCACAGGGTCTCCAACAGCAGGGCCTACCCCATCGCTGTGGTTCCCTGTTCTGGTTCCATCCAGAAACATCAAAAGTCCTAACAGCGGGGACTCATGCAATCAGATGCAGAAAACAATATGGAAACTAGATCTAGAGGGAGCAGGAAAAGTAAACACAGTTAAATGACTAACATAATCCCAACAGTGTATTTCAGTCTCGAAACTGAGTCCAGCCTTGAGTGTAATGGCAGTGACTGAGTTAGAGTGTAGTTGAGATAGAATGCAATGTTTTATGATTCTTACTGGCTGAGAAAGAGCATGGTAGGCTGTTGGGTGAAAGCCAAGTTTCCATCTTTCCTCTTCCCCAGAGTCTGGTAACAAATCCTTAAGCCCAGCATGTGGGGGCTATGGATTAATTGCATCTCTTTTCACAATTTATCTATAATTTTTAAATTATTTATTTTATTTTGGGGATTATCCTACAATTGCATCATTCCTTCCTTCCCTTTTCTGTCCTCTAAACCCTCCTATGTATCCCTCCTTGCTCTCCTCCAAATTCATAGACTCTTTTTCCATTAATTATTGTTACATACTTCACTTAAAATCAGTGTAAGCCAGCAGAACATTGTGACTGATCAGTCAACAGAGGACAGTGTTGGGGTAGGTCCCTACAGTTTACCTTCTAATGAGCAGAGGGAGATCACAGTGGAGTAAGATAAATAAGTAAATGACTAGGCTGGGGTTTCTTTCCAGCCTAGTCCCACAGCTGATTTGCCCCCAAATGAGCACACAGTGACATATATTAATTTATAAACTGTTGGCTGATGGCTAGGGCTTCTTACTGTCTAGCTCTCTCTTAGTTATTAACCCATAACTACTAATCTATGTATTTCTACATGGCCTTATCTTACCAGAGAACGCCTGGTGCATCCTATCTTCCCCACCTCTACATGGCATCTCTCTCATGGCTTCCCTCTCTCTCCTTACTCCTTCCCCTCATAGGCCTGCCTATACTTCCTGCCTGACTACTCACCAATCAGTGTTCTATTCATCAACCAATAAGGGATACATATATACAGGAGAACATCCCCCATCAGAGTAAGGTTATTCCAAGTACAATAAGCCACATGAGGAAGGTAAATTTAAGTGTACCAGGGAGTGAATGGTGTGGGCCCTCGGTGGACGAGTGTGGAAGTCTCAGGGAAAGAGCAAAACAAACGGAAATGAAGGCAGGAGCAAAATGGCAAGTCCTGCAGAGGGAGTAAATGTGGTGTCTGCTGGGGACAGAAGGGAAATGTGACAAAAGGTGGGTGTGGCTAGGAAGTCATCAACAACCAGCAAAAGGAAGTTGTCTAGGATGGGTGACAGGGCTGAGTTCAAATGAACCTTTGTATATAGTGGGATGTTTGGGACATCTTAAACTAGGATGCTTTGGAGTGATGAGCAGGACTGCAGAGTTTCCCAGGGAGAGCTGTGTCCTCTCCTGCTGAGACTGTAGCAGCTCACACTGTGAGAAGCACACTCACAGTCTACTTGCAAAGTGGAATAAATGAGACTTGATGGAGAAATGGATCCTCTCCTCCAGCCAGTCCACAGCTGGAAAATGATGATTAACTGAGATGACCAATGCAAGGGAAGTCAGGCTACTTAAAATGGAAAAATCAAGACCTTTCTAATAACCACCATCAAATTGACATGTCTTCTACATATTTAATTCAACAAGGAAGAGCATGGGTGATTGTGCAAGCCTGAAACTTATCACAGAGGTTGAAGCTGGAGGTGCCACCACAAGGCCTCCCTCGGGTCGTAGTTGGCATTGGAACTGAGGAGCAGGGTGAAATCATCAGGAGAGAGGGATCCATTATGAGAGGCCTGGAGCATCATGGATCTTCCAGCACTTGGGGCACATAGATAAAGGCATCTCAGGATGCTAGTGCCCAGTTGCCAATTAAAATCAATATTCCCAGTCACAGAAAGCATGAAGTGGATGTTTCTTTGATTTTACTGTTCTACCTTATGCTTTAGTTCCACTACAAGTGTACAAAAGTGTCCCTGTGGGTTTTTGTTTGTTTGTTTGTTTGTTTGTTTTGTTTTGTTTTTCAAGACAGGGTTTCTCTGTGTCATAGTCTTGGCTGTCCTGGAACTCATTTTATAAACCAGTTTTGGTTTCTTGGTTTTTGTTTGTTTGTTTTTAACTCCTGCTGTTAGTAAGCAGTGAGATAGCTAACTGTCTGCCCCAACCTGTGTTTCCCCTTCACTGTTTCTGGAACTTCCACTGGTCATATGATCTTTCTTCTTGCTGTCCGTCATCTCTTGAGTCCACACATTTAACCTGTGGTGCCATTTCTTACCACCTGGTTCAGTGATCTGCCCTTGGATAGACAACAAATGTTTGCCGTTCCTCTTATGTTTTAAAGACCCTCTAATATTTGTGTGATATTGCCAGTTGGCTGCTAATTCCTGACAACTCTGTTGAGGGCTTCTGGAGGCCACTATTTATAACCAAATCTGAACATTTCAAAGTTATAAACTTTAAAAAAAAACAAAAAACAAAATCATGTTGTTGTCCCCAGTATCCCAATGTCCAGGGTTTATGGATTGTAGCAGCATTTTACCTGTTTATAACAAGTCCTTTTTCCTCAGACTGATTATCACTTAGTTATTTAAACAGTATTCACCATGGTAAAAGAAGAAGTGTGTACCTTCTCCGAATCATTGCCACATTCTTCCTGAAAGATGTTCTTGACACTGATTAAGTTTCACTTTTATTTTAATTGATTAAGTTTCTCTTTTATTTTAATTGCAGGATGTGCCAATGGGGCAGCATAATTTTCAAAACCGCACCTTAAGGTATGGCTTGCCATTGACTATTTCATTTTTAAAGGCCTATGGCTTGTTATTTATTTCTGAGAGCAATTATAATCAATTAGAGCCATTTCAAAGGTGTCTTCCAAAAGAGCAGCTACTGTGAAGAGCCTATCAAATTACTCCCAGCTTCTAAAAATAAGAATATCAGTGTCTTGTTATTAGGCTTGAGAGAGATAAAAGGAAAACACCACCTGCTCGACTCTTTGCACTGTTGAATGTTGTCTTGAAATCTTTCTTCTATTAGAGATAGAGTTTTTAAGAACCTGAGTTGTTTTTGCATTATTCAGTTGCTGCTTAGAATCAATGCTTGTTTTGAATCCAAATGTTGACCCAAGTTGCCCACCCTGCTCAAATGGGAAAATCTCTTCAAGAATTTCCTCACGTGTCCTGCCACTGTCCACAATCATATCACTGTCTCTTGGTTGGATTTTATGTGTATGAGTCTTTGTGTGCATGTATTTATGTGCACCACATGTATGTAGTGTCTACAGAGGCCAAAAGAGGATGACTGAATCCCTAGGACTGGGGGTTCAGATGGTGGAAACTATCACATGGGTGCTGGGAACTGAACCTGGATCCTCTGCAGTGGTAACAAGTGTTCTTAACCATGGAGCTATCTCTTTGGGTCCCACCATGGTTTTAACCCATACCCCTCTGTCTTCCATTTTATTGTGATATTGGAATAATTAATATAAGGTACTGGCACAAAAGTTAAGGCAATTTTTCTTTCCCTACAAAGAGACTGCCTTTGACGTTTACAGAAATGAAAGAAAAATATAATATGCAAAATATATTCTTGTAGAATATGCCACGTATCCAAGTGAAAGTAAACACACCTGTTGAGCCTGTTTGTTTTCCTAGAACCCTTCCATATGACTATTATAATTAACTCCAATTTGTATTTGCAAATTTGAAATTTTAGCATTGAAATAGAATACTTTCATCCTTATTTATGAAGATGATAAGGCTCTTGGGATTTAAAAAAAAAAAACATGTTGTTTTTCCATGTTCTATACCATATTAAAGAGAACTTAAAGTAATCCTAAGAAGATTATACAATATCTCTATATCTCTGGGATACCTTGAGAGGCATCTCCTACCTGAGCCTGGTAGGATGCTCACACATGTGTAAACCGCTCCCCTCAGGAACTTCTGCTATCTGTATTCATCACCTTGAGGCTCCATTTCAATGGACAAGATACAGTGGAAAATGCTTCACAGGAATCCAGCACAGGGCAGTGTGGTGACTTCTAAGATGAGCTCAGCTAGGAATCTAGTGAAAACATGCTACCATTTTATCTCCAAAACCAGAGAAAATCTCATTTTATCCCAACTGTGTTCCCATCGGGTAGGTACTCTTGCATAACCATTATGAAGGGAAAGAACCTGAGACACATGGGAACTGGAAAAATGCCAAGAGTCTTATGACACCACAGCTAAAGGCAGGACTCTGTTTTATATACAGTGTCCAGCCACTATGCCACCAAATCCCTGGTGGGCTAGAAAGGGTCCCATGTATACCTGTTCCACTTTTGTCTGCTCTTGTTGATCTTTAGTGGCCCCTAAGCACGGGGAGAGAACATAGCTTTCAAATCAGGCTCAATAGGCTTCCTCCCACTTCTGAACTCTGTAACCTCAACCCTAACAAACTTCTCTGAGGTTTTCACCTGACTAGGGCACAGACTTCTCATGACATCTTCTGTGCCTCTTTAAGTGGACTTGCCTGAGATGTGGGTTAGACAGATCTCAGGAGGAAAAAATCTAGATGGGTGTTGGCACATTGTAAAAGAGGGATTGGAGCACAGAGTAGTGGGGAAGCTGAGCTCAGATTCAGGGGCCAGGGAAATCAGCAGTGCTGAATCCAAGGGACAAAGTCAATCAAGATGTCCTGGTGAGTGGAACAACAGGTGTATAGATGTCTTGTCCTCTTCACAGTGGAGGTCACACAAATGAGAAATCTTTGTCTACATCAGAATCATTTTGCAGATAGTCAAATCAAATCACTCATCAGGACATGGACTTGGTGGCTACTTTACGTTACATTTAAAATGGTGAGCCCTGCACGGGTGTTATTGCATTAAAACTGAGCAGATTAACAGAGTTAATACCTTATTTCAACCTCTCAGGAAATGTGTACCTGTGGGCCCCAAGTTAACTGCATTTCCTTAGACATGGCCAAACTGTGAAAAAGAAAACCACTGAGGTGAAGTCCAGAAACTCCAGCCTCACCCTGGAACTGGAAAATTTAAATGGGTGTCTAAGTACATCACTGGGAGCCTGTAAATGAGGGTGCATGTCCACACCAGGTGTTTGCTAAAGGTCTCTACTTTAAAATGTGTGTGTGTGTGTGTGTGTGTGTGCGCGCGCGCGCGCACACACACACGTATGCTCGCGCACACACGTATGCTCGCCCACTCGCGCAAAGGGGCTGGAGATGAGACTTGGCGGTGGAGCACAGGATGATCCTGCACAAGACACTGCAAGATCCCAGTACCAAACCCAGCAAAATGGAACCAAAATGTGGGAAGCTGTCTTTTCGGGGCTGCAGTCAGAGCCAGCCAACTCGCCCACAGTTCGTACCTGAGAGGGGGAGTGTGGATAAAGAAAAGGCTAGCTAAAGACGTTAAAGGAAAAGATGGAGGCACAGAATAAAATCAGGAGGACAATTCAGTCAATACTGAATGCTGAATGCCCCGAGTTTATTTTTCACCATTCTTTAATACCCTAACCAAAAAGGAGAACATGGTATTATGTATACAGAACAAACAGACTCTTCTTCAATTCTCCAAGGATTTGGTAACCGCACCTTATATTTAAGTTCTCATTATCTGGCCTTGAGGGTCAAGAATAACCACACCTCAGACCAAGTCTGTTGTTATTTGATAAGACACCCAAAGCCAAGATCAAATATCCTACTGTCGCCATGACTTTGACCTTTAGGTCTTAAAACTTACTGAGGACAGTTTTGAACTCTCTGATCTTTAGTCAAGATGGAGTGGAACCATCTTTATGGGCTCCCGACACTAAAACCAATGCTCCTTCTTCAAGTGGATTTGAATTTGGTGTACTTAAACCTCATCATTTTTTGGCTTGATATGTACAGTTGGATCACTGCATGTCATTTTTGTTTTAGAATGAATTCTGCACTTGACCTTTTAGAGAATGACAGAGAGAGACACAAAGTTGAGATATGGAGCTTGGGAATACACACATCACTTTGTCTCACTGATAGTTCTTTGAGATTTAATTACAGATAAGTGATGCCTGACACGTCATGTTTGTTCGTGCTCTTATCTGTATGTAATGGCAAATAGGAATCTGGAAAGTGCCAGCATTATTCCAGATTAGATCTACCCATTTAGTATTGAGCAACCTAGATTCATGTGTCTGAAGACAGGAATAGCCTCATTTAGCCTGGCTAACAACCAGTGCCTTTAATCTTTCAAGTAGATGTCACCTTTACCTTTTCCTTTATGCCATTCTCATGTGAATTATCCACCATTCCAGGAGGAGGCACTTTTAATTGGCATAGTTCACTTAGGAACTGTCTTGTTGTCCCTTAAAATCGCCTTCCCCAAGAGTAAGAGTAGTAATCTCTAAGTCTACGAACAGAAGCAGGCTCTCTGTTAGTATGACTTTTGCCAACCACAGAACACTTACATTAAAGCACAGCAATTATACTAAATATATTACATATGAAATGAAACCTTGAAATGTCTAAACAAAGACTACAACTTTGCAAATTCCCAGACACTGGCCGAGAAATACATCAAATGTAGGAATGACTAACATAATCAAATTTCTCTAAGGTTATTTCTGCAGCCAGTGTGATTTAATCATAAAATGCAGGTTACCAGGGCTGCATGTCAAGAGTTAGCTCATCACTTAGGGAAGACAGTCCTTTCGTATCAAACACCACACACTCTCTGTGGTGATTTGGAAGCCCAGTGAGTTTCACAGAATCATAAGTCAATGTATTTACCATAGTAAGTAAGCATCGTGGTCAGTTTATTCAGTCAATAGTGTGGTATATGCTTTGTAGCCATGAGAACCAGCATTCTCACTCGTGTTTCCTTTTGCATATAGAACCAAGTCGCAGAAGAAAAGATTCGAAGAGGAGCTGAATGAAAGGATGATCCAAGCAATTGATGGGATCAACGCACAAAAGTGAGCGCTTTTGCCCTCAGTCAGCTCATTTCAGAGCCTACTGTTTTAATACAAAGTAATATTTCCTAAGTGTCTCCTAGCCAACACTGCCATCCTTACATGGCAAACACAAGTGTCTTAGACAGTTCACCCATTTCCTCCCAATGCCCTTCATAGTAGCTTCTGTTAATAGGATTTCTGTCATGCTACTAAAAAATTAAGTTCTGCCTAGAAAATATCCACTTAGTGACAGAGGGTTCGTTTTTCCCCCAAGAATAATACACATTAGAAGAAAGAGAACATCTTGTCTACTGATAGAGTTTAACACCAGTAATCATAAAACCAGTACACTAAATTCCAAGCTCTAACCCAGCATTGCAAGTAATCACACAGAGAAAAATTATGTGTTACTATATACACTTGCTTTTATTTCTTAAATTACAAGATTCTCCCCCTTCCTTTTCCTCCCTCCAGTCCTTCCCATGTATCTCCTTGCTCACTGTCTCAAATTCTTATTTACTTGTTGTTATATATTTTAATTTTAATAAGCATGGAAAAACTTAGGATTGTCATGAAACTCATCTGTGCCATAAAGGAACTTGCCCATGCCATAGAAGGACGTGGCTGTGAAATGCAGAAAAAGTCAGCTATGACATAGGACCTCATCTGTGTTACAGATAACATTACCTGGGTCATAGGGGGACTCATCTGTGTCATTGAGAAAATCACCTGTGCCATAAGGGGCTCACCTGTGTCATGGAGGGTGGGGAGGACAACTCATTTGTGTAATAGTTATCAACTGTTCCATAGAGAACCTCACCTGTGTCTCAGAAGATCTCACAGCAAGCCAAAAGCAGATGAAATATCCACCATGCTTAGACAAGTCAGTGCTTTTCAAAAATTCAGTTACAATTACCAGCAGCAGGTCTACATGAGAAAATGCTTACAGAAAAAATTCTCCATCTTTAAAGTAACCTACTTCATTTACTACTTCAAAGTTGATTTTTGAAAAATAAAATGACTTGCATCTTCAATTCATATAGCATAACACAAAGTAATAAGACCTCAGTTTCCTGTCTTACAAATGCATGTTTGTTCTAGACTGTCCCATATAGATGTTCAAAATACACAGTGTTTGTGGAAGAGCCACAGAAATGTGTTGTACAGCATGTGTGTCAGGGTACCTGTGTCCATGCAATGAAGTGTCTTGATTGGGTGTAGTTATTATCACCGGTCAGAGCTCCTTCGAGGGTCCAAGTTGATAAAGCCTTCCATCAACCTGAGTGCTCTGGGTTCATGAGCAGTGCCTTGTGGAATCCAGACTCTGGTTTGACCTCTGTTTCTCCAGTGGACACTTCAGCATTTCACAAAGAGGCAAACCATTGCCTGCAAGCTACCAGCAGCCAAACCCAAGGAAGATGGAGAGCCATCCAACTAGAGGAAACAGCAGAGGGTTCGTTTTTCCCCCAAGAATAATACACATTAGAAGAAAGAGAACATCTTGTCTACTGATAGAGTTTAACACCAGTAATCATAAAACCAGTACACTAAATTCCAAGCTCTAACCCAGCCTCAGTGTGTTTGGGTAAGACCCTTCCTTCCCAGACACTTCTGCTCCAAGAAATGGTTAGGCGGTGCTATGGTGGTCTTGATTTGTTGTTAAAGTTAACTTTGAGCTGTTGATTTTCTTTGCATCATTATCATTCAAACATGTGCACTTAAAACTGTCAGGGTCCCATGCAGGTTTGTACCTAAGGAATGCTTCCTGCCGTCATAACGGCTTCTGTTGTAAGTTTCCCAGCATTTCCCGAATGAAACAGAGAACTCCATGCTAGTCTTAAAACAGAGAAGGGAACTGTATAAAGGGAAGCTCTTTGGCCTTTGGGTGTGGTTGGCATTGATTATGTGTTGTGCCCTAACCATTAATGCCTGTTGTTTTTGGTACAATGATCTTCTGGCTTCTGAAAGACCCCCGGGAGCTCAGGCCTCCAGGATCTCAGCCCAGGAACGCAGTCACCCCAATCACCAGGTGGAGTCGAAAGCTTGATGCAAACTGCACAAGGTTTTATTGTAGTTGTTTAACGAGCTAACCCCATGTTAGCTCGGGTCTTTCATCCATCCACCATGGCGAATGTCTAGGAAAGACAGCTTGAAGCATCTGCATAGAGATCTTATAGGGCAGTGTAAGGGGAGTCTGGGGGTACTCACAGGCTCAGTATTGGTGTGCCTCCAGGCTTGGAGGGTTTGCCCTGTGTTGATTGGTCAACTGGTTGTTATGGCCCATAGGCCCTCCCAGGGTGGTTGCTAAGCTCTGCGAGTCATTGCTATGCGCTTGTCCGTAAAGCACACCCAGAGCCATAAAGCATAGCACCACCATCTAGCTTCTGATTGGTTCCTTGCCACGAGGCAGGCACCTAACCTCCTAGTGACCAAGGCAAGGTCGTGGCAAGGACGTGTTACTGTCATGGCTGCCGAAATGGGGAGCTGATCCCTTCACTTCCACCTAAGGAAGCCACTGGACTGGATTACCAATTAGTGTTCCTTTTCCTTTGTATAAGACAGTGATTGGAGTGAATTCAGGTCAGTGGCAGAGCGATAGACTCACACCAGTCTTCCTTTCCTGGGTACATGTACAGAGCGCAGGGTCAACTGCTTCTGTCTTATCTGAGATCACCAGTCCTATCAAGTCCAGCTCTTCTCCTGTGACATCATCAACATTAATAATACCCAAGAGACCCCCACATTCCAATATAGCTGCATTAGAGGTCAGGGACTCAACACTCGGAATTGAGGGAGACACAAACATTTAATGCACAATATAATGGCTGCCTCTCTGTCTCTGTGGCTTCTGTTGTTTCAGAACTTGCCTTCTAGTACACAATGATCTCAGGAAGAATGGGGTAGGGGGGGGGGGGGGGGGGGGGGGGGGGGGGGGGGGGGGGGGGGGGTGCCTTGCTCACCCAGTCTCTTACTTGTAATCCCTTTTATTTTTCTAGACCTAGAAAGGTAAATCATAGACGAACAATCACTATAAATTAACAGGGAAGCACGGACGTTACATCAGATGGAAAACATCAGGAGACCATGGATGCCACACATTCATTTCCTGTCCTCTCCATCCCTACTCTCTGCCCCTTCCTCCTCTCTCCTCCCGTCAATCCTTCTCCGTCTCCTTCCCTGTCCCCTTTCCTCCCTCAACTCTCCTTGGTTTCCTGTCCTCTCCTGTCACTCTGTAGTTCCAGTTTCTAAAAATAATATCAAAAGGAACTCCCTTACATAGGGGATGCCAATATCTCTCACTCCCTGATGGAGATACCGGAGAGACAGCAATTCCATGATTGGAATCTCCAAAAAAGAAAATGGGGGAATGAAGGGACCAGCTCCCCGCTT